GAATATAAAATTTGACTTTCAAATACAAGACTCAAGTGAAACATGGAAGAGGTAAACAGGAAAGAGAAATCATAAGAGACTTAATAAGGGTGAACTGTTTACATTCCTGCAGGGAAAGATTACATTTGTAACTCATGAGTCCTTTGTCAGTATTAGGGTAGTGGGAGGGAAAAAATTATATGTATGTATAGATAGATAGATAGAGGGCACAGGGTGAGTTGAAGATGAAGGGGTGATATCTGGAAAATAAAATTAAGGGGTGAGAGAGGATTATACTGGGAGAGGTAGAATGGGGTAAATTATCTCACATGAAACAGACAAGAAAAGGCTTTTACAGTGGAGGGGAAATGGGGGAAGGTGAGAGGGAATGAGTGAATCTTATTCTCATAGGATTTGGCTTAAGGAGGGAATAACATACACAATGGGATATGGAAATCTATCTTACCCTACAGGAAAATTAGGGGAGAAAGGGACAAGAGAGCAGGGGGATGATAAGAGGGGAGGGCAGATTGGGGGAGGGGATAATCAAAAGTAAACACTTATGAGGAGGGACAGGGTCAAAAGAGACAATAGAATAAATGGGGGGCAGGATAGGATGAAGGGAAATATACTTAGTTTTTCACAACAGGACTACTATAGAAGTGTTTTGCATGACTACACATCTATGACCTGTATCGAGATGCTTGCCTTTTCAATGAGGGTGGGTAGGGAGGGAGGAAGGGAGAAAATTTGGAACCAAAAGTTTTAAAAACACATGTTAAAAATAAAAAAATTAAATTAAAAAAAAAAAGCAAGTATTGGCAGGTGAATGAGTTGTGCATTGTTGAGAAGTCCAGCGTGCACCCACAAGAATATGTGCGTGTAAAGATTTGTTTACAATATGATACTAACTGGTTACTTGTCACAACATTGCATCATAAAAATTTCAATAGAGGAAGAAAAACACAAATTTACAATAACTTGTTAAATTTAAGATGCATCATTTAAAAAAATATATATTTTATATATTTTTGAAATGACCCAAATTTCAAAAAACAAAAACATTAAAAGATTAAAGAAAGTCAATTTCCTGGAGGGCTTTGAGTAATTTTTTTTTTTTTATATAAAAGAGGGCTGTAGTCCAAATAAGTTTGGGAACCTCTGGTTAGGGGAATGATTCCCCACTACAGCTCTGTTTCACCACCTTGAGGAAGCAATAATTCCAGCTAGACTCAACAGCCTTAGGGGAGAGAGAGATTCCCCACCTTATAGCAGTAAGCTGTCAAGGCCTGTGGAGCAATCCCACCCTCTTCTCACCCAAGAAGAAGGCTTGTTTTAGTTTTATCCACATGAGGAAAGGAAAAGGCCCCCTTTCAGTGAGTAAGGTTATTTTCATTTATATTTTGTTAAGGGCTGATAAAGGGTCTCCTGAACTTGTCTTTTTGAGTTGCCTTATTTTCCAGAAACACTGAGCCCAGAGCATGCAGGAGGGCCTGAATGCGCTAAGGATGACACTCCTCCTGAGCTGACAATTTGTTGTTTGCCCAAGCAAGACTCTGAGTGTGTCCTTGGGAGGCAAGACAGGTGCCAGCCAGACTTTGCCAGGCTGGGATGATGCTTGTGTAGCTGGGGTCCTTTGCAGATAAGCAGACTCTCCTATCTTCATAAGTCTAGCCAGTTCCTTAGGGAAAAGAGTGAGACTTTTGCCTTCACCTTGCTCCTTCTCATGGGGAGTGGTCTTTTTTTCCCACCTTTGCTGCACTGTTCCCCCTCCAAAGTCACTCCCTTTCCTGGTCTCCCCTCCTCCCTTTGTCCTGCTATTATAAAAATGGAAACTTCAGTAAAGACTGGGAACCCATTGGGTTCCACATGCATATACATTTTTCTTGTAATAAAATTAGTTTTCACATAATTCTCCTGACTGTGATTGCCTGTTGACGATTTGTTTAGGATTAAGTCAGTAACTGACAATCAGAGCTAAATTTTTGAGAAGTTGTAAAGGAAAGTTGGTATAAATTTTGCTGAATATTCACTTAGAGAGGACCTTTGAGCCCTAATTGTCCAGTTTTAGGATCCAAGAGATTAAGCCCAGAAACTAAGAATTGGAAGTTCTGGACAATTTGCCAAAACGAATCCCTGAATATTACAGTGTTAGCTGTAGGAAAGACACCCATAGAGCCAAAACTCAGGTGGGTTGAAAATAATCTCCCTCTTTTTATTTTGAAAGCCCGGGAAAAGGGTGAATTCCCTGTCTAGGGGGAATATCTGAGGGAGAACACAAATGGATAGAAGGCTGCGTCTCAGGATCCATAACCGAAGGGGGGCCATCTCTAGCGTCAACAGTGGGGAATGTCTCAGATGGAATAACTAATAAGGCGGGTCCTCAGGAATGCAGTCCACTTCTCTCAGGAGATGTTCTGAGGAGTGCCACTCCTGGTTGGGGACACCCCCAAGAGAGATGGGGTCGGGCATAAGAGGAGAAATGCCTTCTACAGGATCCCCACTGGGACAAGGGTGGACTCCCTATCCTGGTAGGTGTAAAGAAAGAGCTATTGAACTGTGTGTAGTTTGGTTTGAGAACACAAGGGATTTGCAGGATTGTTTTGGCCAAAGCATGGAACTTTTGATTATTTAGAAAGTTATGGAATTTTAATGAACAGTCTCCCAAAGCTGCTTAGAACAAATGAACTATTGAAATTGCTCAATTCTTCATCATCCTCAGTTTTGCTTCCTGTGATTCTACTTTGGGAAAGAGTCTTAGAGGAATGGAACTTTAACCAGCTCTTCTGTCTGTTAGGGACGTGTTCCAAAAACAAAGTGTACTTTAAGTGGGTGAACCCAACTGGCAAATTACACTGAAGCAACTTGATAGTGTTACTAAATTACATTTTTTTGTGAGATTCCAAAAGCATTAACATGATTAGGAAACAGAAGAATTACCTTAGACTTATAGCAGGACCCCAGCCACAAGATGGTCATAAGTTCTATACTTCATAGAGGAAACAGGGAAGATCTTGACTTCAAAATCTCTTAAAGAAAAACTTGGGAGAAGTTCAGGCCTGGTTTAATCTTGTGTCATGTTTTATGGTCTGTGTGTGTCTGTTTTGTAAATGATGAAACTAAGTTTAGGAATTACATAAAAAAAAAGACCCTATACAGTTAGGAAAATCCTTAAGAGAATGGCACATAAATGGCTGTTTTGTCCGTGCTATGCTTGTGTGTGCTTTGTGCTAACCCATGTCTAACAGGTGTTTTATCGATTCCTTTTCATTTGGCATGATCAACCAAAAGAAACAGGCTATAAAAAAATAAATAAGCTTAAAAAAGAAAACCTCAAAAGAGGACAAATCTCTCTTTTCTGTTTTCATCACTGGTCATATTGGAGACTGCTGAGATGAAAGACAGATACACAAATTAACTGGAAACTAAAATACAAAAATTTTTTTTTTCTTTTTTGGTGAGGCAATTAGGGTTAAGTGACTTGCCCAAGGTCACACAGCTAGTAAGTGTCAAGTGTTTGGTCTGAGGCCAGACTTGAACTCAGGTCCTCCTGACTTCAGGGCCGGTGCTCTGTCCACTGTGGCATCTCGCTGTCCCTAAAATACAAAAAATTGATTGGAAACCAAATATGTAAAAAAGGAATAAGCAAATTTCTTTCATTTCTAAATTATAACCTGGATATCTTTCTATTTTGATGAGTTTATGGTGTACTACCAAACTCCACCGAGTTTAATGAAAACAGAAATTTCACAGATTAATTACTCCTTAATGGGACCTTTAAAAGGCATCAAGTTTGGCAACTTATTTTAAGTGGGGTGAAGTAAATATCTAGGCTGATGCTAACCCTTACACCTTACAACATGTGTTTTAAAAAAAGAAAAGAAAATTCAAAACAAAAAACATACCAATGGTTTCTAGCAGCGTATGCAATATTCCACAGCCATAGTCCTCCATGTCTACAAAGTGGCACGCTTTCTCAACTATTCTTCAGGGCAAGATTTGATCATTATGGATATATATACAGCATTCAATTTTATGATTTGTTTTGTGTTTTCCTTTCCATTTATATTGTCATAGCATTATGTTGTTATTCAGTCTCATCCAACTCTTCCTGACCCCATTTGGTATTTTCCTGGCAAAGTGTGCCACTTCCTTCTCCAGCTCATTTTACAGATGAGGAAACTGAGGCAAACAGGGTTGAGTGACCTGCTCAAGGTCATGCAGCCGATTTGAACTCGGGTGCTTCTGACTTCAGGGCTGGTGCTCTGTGCGCTGCTCCACCGAGCTGCCCTAATTCTTAATAATTCTATGTATGACCCCATGCAGTAGAGCCCTGATGGTTAGATCCAAGACATCGCCATAGAGGAGAGACTTTTGTCCCGAGCCTCTCGGGAGCCTCCTTTTCCCTGAACTCCCTGGGACCTGTCCAAAAACAATCAGAAAATGAACTTCATGGTTTCTGCCTCTGTCTGCCTAACACCCAGCACAGGTGCTGGCAGTCTAGAGCATCCTGGACGGGCCAATGAAGGCGGAATTCATCGTCCCTGATGCCCCCCTCCCCTCCATGGCCCGATGAAGATGCTCTGAGCACCTCCAGGGCTACGTTCCCAGAGGGGCTTTGATCAATTCCAGTTGTGGCCTTGAGAACACCGGTGACGGTGAGAGCTGGCGTTCCTGCGGCCGAAGGGGCCTCGCACCCGGCTCCCTAGGCCCTCCCTGCGGCGCTTCGTGCTCTTATAAGGGAACGAGCTGAAAGAACCCGACGCCCTCCCGGCCTCGGCGCTCAGCACGTGGCCGCCAGGTCCGGGCGACAGCACCCCCTGCGCGGACTCCATTTCCCAGAATGCCGGGGCCGTGGCGTCACCCACGCCGCGCGGTCGCCGAGGCAGAACCCCAGGGCATGCCGGGAATCTCGAAGTGCGCAGGCGCAGCTTTCCCCAGGGGCTCCGGTTTTTCGGCCCTTTGTTCTTGGGGCCCCGCTGGTGGAGTGTGGGCAGGGCAGGGAGGTGCGGAGGGAGTCAGTGCGCAGGCGTGGCCCCACCCGGCCCGGCTAGGGAGCCCCTCCTCCTCCTTACCCTCCCCGGCGGAAGACTTGTAGGGACCCTGCCGGGTTAGTGAGCAAGGGAATGTCCGTGCAACCGTGTGCGCGTGTGCAAGCGTCTGAGTGTGGGATTGCTTCTGCAAGACAGAAGAGGGTTGGGACCGGTGCTTGGGTGCAAATCTGTGTGACGGGGGCGGGGGTGATGGAGTGTGTGTGCAAGGTGTGTGCAGGGTGTGTGCATGGGGGCTGTGTGTCTGAGTGTGTGTGCATGTTTGTCCAAGAGTGTGAATGCACGTGCAAGTGTGCGTGACAGGGAAGGGACTGGGGGCTGGTGAATGTGCATGTTGCCAAACGTATCTGACGGGGGAAGGGCTGGTGAGTGTGTGCAAGTGTGTAAATGTATGTAAGGGGGGGGCGGAGTGTCCTTGAGTGGGATTGCACGTGCACATGCGTGACGCGGGGAAGGGCTGGCGCGTGTCAGCTGGACCAGGCCCGCCCCCAGGCCTGGTGTCCTGCTGCCGTGGGATGTCCCTGGGGCCCTGGAAGACCTGCTGGAGTCAGGGAGGCCTGAGTCTGTCCTGACTGTGTGACCCTGCCTGCCTCAGTTTCCACATCTGTACAGTGGGGGTGCCAGCACTCCCTCCCTCTCTCCCCCCCAGGTGGTTGGGAGGATCCGATGAGATCTTAGCACAGTGCCTGGCATACAGTAGGTGCTGTATAAATGTCGTCCAACCCCTCATTTCCCTGGAGGAAGAGTGACAGCATCTGAAGGAAGGGGGTGAGGGCTGGGGCTGGGGGGCAGAGGGAGCAGGGGAGCAGCTGGACAGCTCCCAGGGGGCCAGGGGACTGGTCACTGCCCGGGCATCTGGTCCTTCCCGGTCCTGGGCAGCCCTGGGCGGCTGCTGGCTGTCCTGGCCCAGCCTGCTTCTGTCCCTTAGTCAGGAGCAGAGGAAATGATCACAGCTGGCGCTGCCCTGGCCCTTTGGGGGCCCCACCATGGCCCTTTGGGGGCCCCACGTACTTTACAAATCTCAGGTCCTGGATTCCTGGCAGCAGCCTTGTGAGGAAGGTGGCCCGTTTTACAGATGGGGAAACTGGGGCAGCCAGAGGGGAAATGACTTGCCCAGGGTCACCCAGCCCATAACTGCCTGAGGCCCCATTGGACTCAGGTCTTCCTGCTTGCATCCCTGTTCCCATTCCCGGGATTCAGATGAAGGCCCTGTGATCTTGAACCCAGGCGTGCTGGTGCCCCAGGGGCTGGCCCACTGTGAATGGAAATGAAACCTCAGTGAAGGAGTATTAGATTAGCAAAGCCTGTCATGTGCTTGGGGTCCTAGAAGGGACTTCCTGGCCTCCCCAGCTGAGGCCCAGGCAGGGAGACTGACTTGCTCCCAGGGACAGTGGTGAAAAGTGGCAGGGACAGGATCTGAACCCAGATCTCAGCGGGCAGTGGGTTGGCTTCCCGTTGCTGCGTGCTGGCTCCCACACATGTAACATGTGTGTGCCAGCAGACATGCATGTGCATGTGTTAGGATGCTGACCTTGTAAGGTCACCAAATTTTAACTAGAAGGGACACAAGGTCATCTGGTCCAACTCCTTTGTTTTACAGACGAGGAAACGAGTCCAAGAAGAAACTGCCACATGACGGAGCCAGAATCTGAACCTGGGTCTTCTGAGTCTGCATCCCATGCCCTCCCATGTAGGGTGAGCCCTGTGGCTGACTCAGCGCCATCACTGACCACAGCAGCTCTCCCCAGGCCTTTCCTGGAGCATCAGAGGGGTTCTCCTGCTGGGAAGGCAGAGTCTGGAAGCCTGAGGGGAGGTCTCAGCTAAAGGGGCCCTTGTTTTTGAGCCCCCTGGCACCGGCTCAGGGAAGGATCTGTCCCAGCCAACTCCTTTGACCCAAGTGTGCGAGGCCAGATGCCCCTCCTGAACCCACGCCAGGCCCGGAGAGGCGTGGTAGGGGTGCCTCTGGAGGCCCGAATGTTTGCGAAGAGAGGTGAGCATTATGGGAGCCTGGGGTGGGGCGGGGTTAATGGGATCCCAGAGCTGGAAAGGACCCCCAAAGGCTGCTGGTCCAGCCCTTGCATTCATGGTCACCCTGTTTGTAAGGTTCAAAGGCAGGATTTGAACCCAGCACCTCTGACTCCAGAGGCCATGTTCCTTCTACTGTGCTACCTAAGACACCCATGCCAATACTGGAACTGTCCATGTACATTCCTTTTCTCTCTTTTCTCTCCCCCTCGCCACTACCTTTTATAAACATTCTGGCACTGCCCAGTGATGCTTAGACTTCCTTCCTCCACCCCCTACCCCCTGCCCTTATAACAAACACAGATTTGGGGTGGACTCCATCAGGATGGTGGCTCGATTCTCTCCATCTCCGTCCACAGCACGCGATGGAGGAGAGCGAGAGGGAGCCCAGCTGAGGCTTGGCCAGCTTGGGTCAGGCGTAGACAAAGGGGGCCCTCTCTTGGGAGAAGAGGAATGTCGTGTTGAGCTGGTTCAGCAAGGGGTCAAGATGGGGAAAAGAGGGGAGAGAGAGGGTGTGGGAGATAACCAAGGGCTGGGTGAAGGTCTCGGGATGGGCAGAGCACAGGCAGGGGGAGGGCCGGGATGCTGATAGGTTGTGATCGGGTGAGGGGATGGTGACCTGTTGGTGGGTGGCTGAGGTGGTCTGGAGGTCATGGGAGCTTGGGGGATTTGAGAGAAGATCAGTAGGAAGGCTGATGTCCCCTAGTGTGTAGGGGAAGAGGGAAAGACTGCCCCATGAGCTGGGCGCTGAACTCCCTGAAGAGTGACCCTGGAGGTCGCTCGTTTCTCTGATCCTTCATGTCTTTCTTTTCCCTCAAATTTCTTTTTTTTAACATCTTTTTTTTAACATTTTGAGTTCCAAATTGTCTGCCTCCTGCCTCTCTCCCACCCATTAAGAAGGCAGGCAATACTCAAACACGTGAAGTCATGACAGATGTTTTCTATTTTTAGCCATGTTTCAAAATAAAACAAAGCAAAGCAAAATAAACAGGAAAAATCAAGAAACTAAAAAAGTCCATTTCACCCTGGAGGCAGAGAGGTCCTTGGATCATTTTCCTTATCCGAGCAGCTCAGGTTTCCAAGTCTGATATCCTTGTGATATCGCCTCTGCTATGTATCCTGTGCTCCTGGTTCTGCTCGCGTCACTTTGCATCAGTCTTACGAGGCTTCCCAGGCTTCTCTGAAGTCGTCTCCTTTGTCGTTTCTTATAGCACGGTAGCGGTCCGTCACAATCACACAGCTTGTTCAGCCGTTTCCCAGTGGATGGGCATCCCCTCTGTTTCCAGTTCTTGGCCACCACAAAAAGAGTGGCTAGAGAAATTTTTGGACAGATAGGTTCTTTTCCCTTTTCTTTCCTTATTTCTGATCTCTTCAGGTGAAGTCCCACTGCAGGGTCTGTTTCCTCCAGCCACTAAACCCCATACAGGTTCACCTGGGCTGTTCTCTGTAATATTGGAATAATAGCTATATGTGTGATATACCACATATGGATATATTTCATATATGTGTGTGTATATATATAGATATAATGTATATACACATATATGTATATACACATACATATGATTTGCAAAGCACCTGACGCATATAAATCCCACAGGTGTGGGTGTGGGTGGGTATTACATCTTTATAATTGTCTTGTGACCAGCTAGTGGAGCGACCATTTCTCTGTGGTTCTGGGGAACCAGAAGCACAAGAAACTGCATATAATATCAGACGTTGGATGAGCTGATGAGCTTTGACATTTGCTTTACTTTTGTCCCTTTGGTTAAGTCTTTTTTTTTCTTTTTTTCTTTTTGGTGAGGCAATCAGGGTTAAGTGACTTTCCCAGGGTCATACAGCTAGTAAGTGTCAAGTGTCTGGGGTTGGATTTGAACTCAGGTCCTCCTGACTCCAAGGCCGGAGCTCTATCCACTGTGCCACCTACCTGCCCCTTGTTTAAGTCTTACTAAAAGGGATGGTTCCCTGCGGGAGATAAGGTGGGAGATATAGTTGGCATCAATACCAGAAGATATCAAGAGAAATTTTTTCAAAGAGTCGAGGTGACAGAAGGTTTTTCCTGGGGAGGGGGACACTCTTGGGAGCCCCGGTTGGGTCCCATCCTCCAGCCTGGTGTTCCTCTTCCTTCTTTGCGCTCAGGATTGTGGTTGGGGTGGCGCTGCCCTTCAGCCTTTCCTGGGATGGTGAGCAGGGACCCAGGCAGTCCTGCTGGTGAGCCTTCACCTCCAGAAGCTCTAGCCTTGGCACTCTGGGTTGGTGAGGCATGCCATCCCCCAGCTGGGCCAGGCATTCAGCTCTCCCTGTGGCCCCTGTAGCTCTGGGCCATTCCCACCAGGTGGCACTGCCACTCAACATGTTTTTGGCCAAGCCTCACCTGCCATTTTATCAAAGTCAGAAACTCTCCATGACCAGTCACTGGGGGCTCACAGCTCATAGGTAGCTTGGAGTCTTGGAGATGTGCCTGGGGCCCTGAGAGATCGTGACTTTGCGGTGCTCCAGAAGCCGTATGTCAGTGAAGGGCCTTGTGCCGGGCTTCCTGACTGCAAGGCCAGCTGCATCGCCACAACACCATGGAGCTCCTTACCTCTCTGGAGGCTAATGCTAGGGGCTCTTGAAATCCTGAGATCACAGGGGCAATGGGGCTGTCAGATGTTGAAGGCCAGAACCCTTCTCTCATGCCGCAAGGCAGCAAACATACTCCTCAGCCCTGCTTTCATCTTGTGCTCTGCTCGTGTGAGTGGGACCAGATTCTCTGGGGAGAATTCCGCCCCGGGGAGTGGGGGAGCTCCAGGCCCGTCCTGGTCTCTCTCACAGCGTGTCTTCCTCCTGCAGCTCTACCTTCTCAGTACTCTGCCCTTCCGCTGGAGAAGACCCTGAAGGAGGAGGAAGCAGAGGATGAAACAGTGGCTTCTGGCGTCCTGACCCCTGGTCGGTCACAGGTAAGTTGGCTTTGACTCTGTCCTGAAATGCTGTCTCTGTTCTCAAAATGTGCATGCCACTTTCACTTCCTGCCGCCCGGCCCAACCAAGCCCCATGCAGGTGCCTGATCCTCAGTTGTCTTACCCCGGAAGACTCCTGACTATGTCGGGGTGTGAATGAGAGCCCATAGTCCTTAGAGTGGAAAGGAGTTCCAGTTCCTTGACTTCTCTTGTGTCTTAGGCCTCCTCGATAAGCAGTCTCCTAAAGCCCATAGACCTTTTCTCAGAAGGCTTTTATGTACATTAAATGAAACACAGAGAATTAAAAATAATAGCTCCTAACTAGCATTTCGGTGGTACTTGGAACTTTATAATTATTATCTAACTTTATCATCATAACAACCCTGGAAGGAAGGTGTTGTTATGATCCCCATTTTACAGATGAAGAAACTGAGGCAGAGGTTAAGTGACCTGTGCATGGTCACACAGCCGGTAAGTGTCCATGCCTGGATTTGAACTCAGATTTTCCTGACTCCAGGCCGCTGCCCCACCTAGCTGCCTTTAGAAGGAAACCAATCATATTTAGATTAAATTCACAGACCCCAGGTTAGGAACCTCTTATCTAATGTAACACCCTAATTTGAGGAAGCTGAAAGCCAAATAGATGCAGTGACCAGGCCGAGTGTCCAGGCCTCAGTCCTCCAGCCCACCAGACCTTTTCAGGAAAAAAAGCCTTCACCTCATAGGGGAAGGTGCTATGATTCTACTACTGCTACCAGGCCCCTCAGCAGTAATGGGTTACTTCTTATCTTTAAAAAGATAATCAGTTTTGTTATGTGATGTTATCTGATGCTGTTCTGGTCCCCTGATTACCAGGTGATTTCTTAGTTTTAACAGGATAACGATTCAAGACAGCTCCAAAGGACTGATGACGAATAGTGCTCCCCACCTCTAGAGAAAAAGTTGATGGAGTCTGAATGCAGATTCAAGCAGACTTTTTCACCTTTCTTTATTTTTCTGGTTTTCTTTTTGTTTGTATTTTCTTTTGTAACGTGGTTAACAGGGAAATATTTTACATGACTGCGCATGTATAGTCTATATCAAATTGCTTGCCTTAAAGGGAGAAAGGGAGGGAGAGAATTTGGAACTTAAAATGTGGGGGGAAAAAAAAGAAGGTTAAAAATTTTGGTTTACATGTAATTGAGAAAAAATAGATTAAAAATTAAATATGAAAAAAAAAGACTGGAAGCCTCTTGAAGGCAGAGTCTGCTCTTGACTTTTTTCCCAGAGCAGAGTACCTGGGACATATTAAGTACTTCAATAAATGCTTGACAGTTGGTGATTGATTGGGGAAAAAAAAAGAAAAAAATTAGTCTTGATACACAAGAGATTGATCTCATAGGTTTATAGCTGATTCCATCCCCTTTTACAGATCAGGAAACCGAGGCCCCGAGGTGAAGGGACTTCCACATCCCATGGCTCCAGGCCCAGCATTCCATCCCCAAGGCCTCGGAGTAGCCACAAATCTTTGGCCTTGCTGGGTTTCCCAGGGCCCACCATCACAGTGAAGTCACTGGGTGTCAGACGGACTTGCCCTCTAGCCCCTCATTTTCTGCAGGGGGAGTTTGCACCTGAGCTCAGTTATCTTTCTGGGGGTTTTTAAGAGGCAGCTAAGTAGGGCACTGGGAAGAACTCGGGTTCAGGAAACCCTGGGATCCAGTCCAGCCTGAGATACTTACTAGCTATGGCCCTGGGCAAGTCATTTTACCACTGTCTACCTCAATTTCTTCAGCTGTAAAATGAGGATAATGATAGCCCCTACCTCCCAGGGTGGTCATGAGGATTAATCGTTGCGAGAGAAGATTTGCAAAGCTTATTTGCAACCCTTAAAGTACTATATGAATACTAGTTATTATTGTTAGTGTTGTTATTATTATTACTATGAGCCCCGCCAGTGTGGTAGGAAGTATTGTTTCCCGTTGTCTTTGGTTACGTGATGAAAACCCGACTGCTCTCTCCGCAGCAAGATGTGAATCCCCTTTCCTTCAGCTGCATTTCCCTTGGGTCTCTGCTTTCATTTATAGCAAGAACGTCAAGGTCGATGTGATTCGGTTACAGTCTGCTTTTGATTTGCTTCCATTTTTTATGGTTATTGTTGAAGTAATCAAAATAAAAGTGTATCATTATGAAATCATAAAGAAATTCCCGTTTTCTTCCATGGGACAGAGTGAAAAGACCTGGATTTAAATCAAATTCGGTGGCTGGGATCTGCGACCTCCTAGACCTGTGTGACCTTGGTCCATTCACTTATCCTTCTAGAGCCTGTTTCCTTACCCGTAAAAAGAGGCAGTTTGACTATAGCTGTATGTGTATATTCCTTTTTTTTGAGGGGGAGGCAGTTGGGGTTAAGTGACTTGCCCACAGTCACACAGCTAGTAAGTGTCATTTGTTTGAGGCCGAATTTGAACTCGGCTCCTCCCGACTCCTGGGCCAGTGCTCTGTCCCCTGTGCCCCCTAGCTGCCCCTTCTAGATGTGTATTCCTATGGAATGACTTTAGATTAGTCCTGGAGAGAGAGTTCTGTGTCATCTCTAATCAGAGATGTACCTTGGGAATGTGATTGGGTTTTCTTGGCGTTCTGAACGCTGAGTGCTTTGAGAAATGGCTGCCCACCTTCCTCTCTGTCTCCGTGGCTGTGCGAGGGGGACGGGGCCAGGATGAGCAGGAATCTGTCTGGTGTTTCAGGAATTGGTGACATTCAAGGATGTGGCTGTTGACTTCACCTGGGAGGAGTGGGAGCTGCTGGAGCCCGGTCAGAAGGCCCTGTACAGGGATGTGACGCTGGAGAACTATAGAAACCTGGTTTCCCTGGGTAAGGACAACCTCTTTCTTTAAAAAACAGATTTTTATCAATGTTCTTTGTTTTTACATTATCTAGATTCCCCTCTGCATCCCATTCCTTTCCACCTTTCCAGATAGCCATCCCTTATAATAAAGAATTTTTAAGAAGAAAAAGAGGTGGGGCAGCTAGGTGGTACAGTGGATAGAACACCTGGAGTCAGGAGGACCTGAGTTCAAATCCGGCCTCAAACAAATGACACTTAGTAGCCATGTGACCCTGGGCAAGTCAATTAATCCCAATTGCCTCACAAAAAAAAAAGAAAAAGAGGGAAAAAATTTGGCAAAATTGGTTGACACGTTCAAGAAGTAGAATTTTATATGCAGTGTCCCACACCAATGGATCCCAATTTCTGCAAAGGCCTGGGAGGGGGAGATGCCTTCTCATGCTTCTTCTTTGGGGCCGAGTTTGTTATATTTTTGCAACATTTTGTTTCATTTCTTTTGTTTTGGTCTTTCCAGTTACATTGTCGTAGTCATTGTGTAGTTTGTTTTCTTATCTGTGCATCAGTTCACAGAAATCTTTCCATGCTTCTTTGCGTTCATTATGATTGTTGTTTCTTATAGTTCAGCAACTTTCTGTTACATTCAAGTACCACTATTGGTTTAGCCATCCCCAAGGCAGCTTTGTTCTCTGACTCTTAGGATTGTATTGCCTCCTGTGAGGTATCTGAAGTGCATAGACCAGCTGTGGGGTGGCAAGCAAGGACCAGATATTTGTGATGCTTCAAGAGTAAGAGACATGTGGGCAGCTAGGCAGTGCAGTGGATAGAGCACCAGCCCTGGAGTCAGGAGGACCTGAGTTCGAATCCGGCCTCAGACACATAACACTGACTCTGGGCATGTCACTTAACCCCAGTTGCCTCACCAAAGGGAAAAAAAGAAAGGAAAAAAAGAGTAAGAGACAGGCCATCATGGCCACTGTTTCCAGATGAAAGGTCTTGACGTCCGTCTAGAACTTGTCACAATTTGGCCCTTATGGGGCTGCCCCTAAGGCTTTATGTTCCCTACCCCCTGTTCCCCCATGTCATTCCTACTAGCCCAGCATCTCAGTGCAGGTGCCTGGAGATGAGGCTTCCAGTCAGTTCCTCAGGTATTATCAAGCATCTGGGTGCAGAATGCTGTGTAAAATAAAGGGGGAGCCCATGTTTAGGCAAGCATGGCTGCTGCCTTTGGACTTCCAGCACAGCTGGGGGAGACCACCCTGACCCAAATTCTTGTCATTTGATTCTTCTAGATGATGTTCTTTGACTGGAATTCACAAACTGCTCATGTGAAATATTACACAATAAGTGTGCCTTGGAGAGGTGCAGAGTGCTTCTGAGGGATGGAAGGTTATTACTGTCAGATGAAGGCTTTTGGGAGCAGGTAGCGTTTCAGTTGAGCACCAAAGATCAGGAGATGTTGGGCAAGTTGGAGCTGTGAAGATGTGGAGGAAACCAAATTGTAGAGGCTGGACTAGGGACACAGACAGTGAGCGTCATCTGGAGTGCAGAGTGCAGGGAGGGGAGTTTGAAATGAGGTCAAGAAGATGGGTTGGTGCCAAAATCTAGAGGACCCTGAATGCCCGGCTGAGTAATTTGAATTATGCTCAATAGCAAATATGAGGTGGTCCAGAGATTTTCAGTAGAGAAATCACGTGTCCAGTCCTGTGCACAAGGAAAATAAGTCTTCCATTGGTGCAAAGTCTAAACTGGAGGAGTGAGAAAGTAATAGGCAGGATGACCTGCTGGGACCTTATTGCAGGAGCCGAGGTGGGTGTAATGAGGGCCTCTCTGAAGAAGGTGGCCATGGAAATAGAGAAGAAGGAATGAACGGGAGAGACGGCAGCTTGGGGCCGGAGACATAGAAGAGGGAAAAGTCAAAACTGACATCGAAGTTTCAACTGTGAGACCCTGAGGGGACCACAGGGCTATTGGAAGAAATAATGGAAGTCAGAAAGAGAAACAGCTGTGGGAGAGGGACCATCGTTTAATGGATCACTAAGCATTTATTAAGCACCTAGTGAGTGCCAGGCACTGTGCTGAGTCCTGGCTCTGGACACGATGTGTTTGAAGTGGCAGCACGTTGGGTAGAGATCTTGTAGGTATTTGGAGATGTGGGCTTGGGGTTTGGGGCAGAGCATGTGGAGATGTGAAGAGAGGCAAGCATTGGTGCCATTGGAGGGAAGGAAATTACTTCAGGGAGTGGGGGAAAGAGGTTCAGAGCAGAATCTTCAGGGAAAGGTTCTCACCTGCGGGCCCTAATTATGATCCCATCTCCGCTGCGGGGCCCATCTTTCGCCTGCCCGATGTCATTCAGAGCCCCTATGTGTCATTGTTGCCACGTCTACCTTCCCTGGAGGAGGAAGAGAGGAGAATTCCCTTTTGAGAAGGCTCTCTGTCCCCAGCATTTTCCTACTTCTTCCTCATGAGCAGGACATCCTGTTTCCAAACCCAGTGTGATCTTCCAGTTAGAGCAAAGTGACACGCCGTGGCTGCTGGAGAGAGAAGCACCGAGAAGCATTTTTCCAGGTGAGGGAATGGATTTGAGGTAGGTGGGAGTCAGTGCAAGCAACAGGTCACAGGGTGAGTGGGGCATGACATGTCTGAAAGCTGTCCTCAAACACACAGTGCAGAATTGGAGTGTGTGTGTGTGTGTGTGTGTGTGTGTGTGTGTGTGTGTGTAAAGTTTTCCCAATGTGGGGCTTGTTTTATTTAGCTCCATGTGGTTTTTGTGACAGGGGCAGTTTTTCTTGTTTTCTCCTTGTGTGGGGGGGTGGGGGCACAGGGGTTGGAAGGAAGACGAGAAGGAGACGAGGCGCTTCCTTTGAAAAAATAAATTTAAAATTAAAAGGAGACCTCTTTTTCAATCAAGTGGCATTTCTGAGGTGCCCACTATGTGCCGGGCCTTGTGTTTAAAGGTCCCAGACAGGTCGAGGTCCGAGGCTGGGACGTCAGCCCTTTCGTAGACCGTCGCCTTCTGATTCCGCTACCTTCCCTCTGGTGGTTTTTCACAGTATTGTCCTGTCTATAACTTGTACGGATCTAGTTGTTCACATGTTAAGTCCCCCATCATCCTGTGAGTTCCACAAGGGCCGGGATTGTCTTTGCCTTTCCTGATAACCCCAGCCCTCAGCACAGTACCTGGCCCATAGTAGGTGCGTAATCGATGTTTATTGACTGACTTATTCTTTGCCTGAGTCAGTAACTTTCCTGGCTTTTTCTCCATTATCCTTCCCTCTGTCTCTGAGAAACTCTTAGTGTTTCCTTATTTGTACAGCTTCCCCTTGCACTCAGCAATTGCCCGCCCCTCTCCCTTTAAGGACCCTGTTCCCAGGATCATTTCCTATTGGTGTCCTATGTCCCTGTTCCTTTTCTTCCGCCTTCCAGGATCCTTAGGCTACCCGGTACTTAAAAGGAACAAGGAAATCCTTCTGTCCACTCTCAGTTTCTTCCAGTTTTGTCTTTCCTTCACTTGCTGGAATCCTCCTGTGGAGAAGCTCTGTCCACCATCTCCATGTGCTAGGTTCCCATTCTGTTCTCTTGAAGTGCCATGATCCGGTCTCCACCCCAACTACTCTATAGAAAATACTCTCTGAAGATAAGTCGTTCTACCTACATTCCCTTCCAAGGAGGAAGCCAGTGCTCAGTGGATAGAGTGTTGGGCGTGAAGTCAGGAAGACCTGAATTCAAATCCAGCCTCAGACACTTCCTAGCCATGTGACCCTTGGCAAATCACCTCACCCCTTCACAAAATGGATGCATTAGTTCCATTGGAGAAGGAGACGGCAAACCGCTCTAGTATCTTGGCCAAGAAAAGCCCGAATGGGGTCACGAAGAGTCGGACGTGACGGAACAATAAACCTAAATACAAAGGCTTTTTGTATTGTCATCAGCCTCTGCCTTGTGTAATGGTGTTAGGCAGCCCTTTATCCATTGGGCTTAACAAGCATTTATACAGCATCTGAACCTTGCAAGGCCCGGAAGATACAGAAACAAAAACAGGAAATGAGTTTCTATCCTCCTTGAAGACTTGATGCCTAAAAAGATAATTTAAGATTAGATACGTTGAGAAGGGGAAGAAACAAGGTAAAGGACCCCAGGCAGGACACTCCCATTAAGCACCTTGAAGGCTGTTGGTGGTTCCGATAGTCAGAAGTCAGAGGGTATGCCTGCTAGGCTTGGGGGACGCAAAGCCACAGAGACTAGAGATCTGAGCTGATTCAGAAATCCACTAGGAGCCAGGGCTAGATGGCGAAGGACTTGGGAGTTTTGCCTGAAGTCAGAGTCAAGGTCCCTGGCTTAGAGTTGGCAGATTCCATTCTCTTTCCTTTTTGGGTAGCCATGACATGGGTCATTATCCAGTCTTGCAGGACCTTTCCTCATCTGCACATCGTTTGTACTTCAAACCTGGAAGTGGGATGTGAAGAATAACGTTTACATAGACAAGTCTGTAAAGTTTGGCAAGTGCTTTATATCTGTTCTCTGAGGCAATTGAGGTGGCATTTGAGATTTGGGAGTCAGGAAGTCCCGAGTTCAAATCTAGCCTCAGATACTTACTTACATGATGCTAGTTATTTCCCCTCTGCCTCAGTTTCCTTACCTGTGAAATCTATAAAATGAAGATGGTATTATCCCCTACCTCACAGGATTCTGTCACTGATCATGCCTTGCCACACTCCAACCTTGGATTACTCCCACAATCCAGTCTTCACCACTGTTCATGTGCTGCTCAATGCAAGTGGAGAGTCATAAAACCAGGGTGATGGGGTCTACTACAAATGTGGGTTAGACAGTCTTGACTGGACCCTTACTGCAACACGACAATCTTTTGATACTTCTCTAATGGATCGGCACTCCCACTCAGCACGGCGATTCCAAACCTTTCCGTTCTTCCTCACGGCCCCCATTACTTTTCTTCCTGCCACCCTGGCAGCTGAGGACAGGTTGAGGCCATTCCACAAAAACTCCCTCTTCTCCCCCTTCCTCATCTCACATCACCAAGATGCCTTCTGCTACTGTCTCCTTGTTCACCCGTGTCTCACAGGAAGACGGGTCCTCTCCCCAAGGGAAACGCTTCCCTGTGCACCCTGTCACCCGTCTTTCCCCACTTCTCCACAAGATTGCCCTTTCTCTAACGATCCCCACTTTCCCACTGTCTAATCTGTAATCTCTCCACACCGTAGCTCCTTCCCTGCTGCCCACAAACACAACCATAGCTTCTCTCTCCTTAAAAAGTCTGCACTTTCTTTGGCTGGTTATCGTCCTCTATCTGTTCTTGCCTTCTCAGCCAAATTCTTTGAGAAAGCTGCAATCGGTGCCACCTCTCCCTGCCGTCTGGCTTCTGATGACGTCCTCCGATTGAAATTACCTCAGAGTCCCCAGGGGCTTCTTAAATACCAAAGGGAATGGGTTTTTTTTTCAGTGCTCATCCTTCTTGACCTCTGCACAGCCTTTGATGTTGCTGAATTCCCTCTCCCCCCTGTCCTCTCTCTTCTCTGGGTTTTTGGGATGCTGCTGTCCTCCATTTCCCCTAACTTCTTTCCTGAGCTCCAGTCTCACAGCACTAGCTTCCTCTTAGATATCTTGAACTGAATGTTCTATAGGCATCTGAAATGAAACAGATCTCATTCTCTTTCTCCCTACAGCCTCACTCACCTCCCCCCGTCCGACTTACTGGGAAGGGCACTGCCTTTCTCCTACTCACCCAGGAACGCAAGCTTGGGGTCAGCCTTGACCCTCATGTCTCCTTCACCCTTCCTATCCAATTCAGCCTATTGCTGTTACTTGAACTTAATGTTCTGTTTCCCGAATCCATGCTGTCATTGACTTGCTGCCCTCCATGCCTAGAATATTCTTTTTCACCTCTGTCTCTTTGTTTTCCTGGCATCCTTCAGGACTCAGGTCAAATCTGACCTGCCAAAGGTAGTCTTTCCTTGTCCCTCTACACCACCCCCCACTTCTAATTCTTTCCCACTATTGCATATTTCAAATGTATCCCATAAATACCCAGTATATGCATAGCTGTGTGTATGCTGTCTTTTCCATTAGACTGTGAACTTCTTGAGAGCGGGGCTTGTCTTCTGCTTTTTTCTGTCTCTCCAGCATTTAGGACACATAGTGGGTGCTTAATAAGTGCTTACTGTGTGATGACTGACTGTGGAAAAAGGAACATTTACATTTTCTTGTTTCTTTCAGATTGGGAGGCCAGGTTTGAGACCAAAGAAACAGTTTCGAAGTCTTATTTCGCTATCGAAAAGCCATTCCAAGAATCCTGGCGTGGTCCCTGGGGTTCTCATTGGGGGGAATCCTGGGAATGTGGTAGCAGGTTGAAGAGGCAGCAGGGGAGCCAGGAGAGAAATTTCAGGCAAGTACCATTTGCCCACAAGAAAACTGATGAGCCAAGAAGTCAGGAATGTAATAACTTTGAGAGAAGTTTCTGTTCAGACCCAATTCTTATGACACAACAGAGTGCCAGAAAGAGTCTCCCTAAGTATGATTCGCATCAACTTTTCTTTGAACAACATTCTGACCTAATTCAACTTGATAGGATCACCTCAGGGAAAAAACCTGGTCAATGTGATGAATGCTGTATTACCTTAACTTACCCGTCAGACCTTGTTCAGTGTCATAGAATACTTAATGGAGAGAAACCCTATGCATGTTATGAATTCGGGAAAACTTTCCACCAGAGAGACCTTACCCGAGATCAGAAAACCCTTATTGGCGAGAACCTCCACATATATAATGAATGTGGGAAAACCTTCAGTGATAACTTAACTCTTACTCTACATCAGAGAAGTCATACCAGAGAGAAGCTCTGTGATTGTGATGTATGTAGGAAAGCCTTGAGTGACACCTCGTCCCTTCCTCCACATCAGAGAGTTCAAATTGGAGAGAAATCCTACAAATGTCCTGAGTGTGAGAAATCATTCAGTCAGTATGCAAGCCTTATTAGACACCAGAGAATTCATACGGGTGAAAAACCTTATAAATGTAGTGAATGTGGAAAAGCCTTCAGTCAGTGCACAAACCTGATCCGACATCAGAGAGTTCATACTGGAGAAAAGTTCTTTAGATGTCATGAATGTGGGAAGACCTTCAGCAACAGTTCATCCTGCAGTATCCACCAGAGAATTCACACTGGAGAGAAACCCTATGGGTGTGGTGATTGTGGGCAAGCCTTCAGTCAGCAGGGAAGCCTTATCCAACATCAAAGAATTCACACTGGAGAGAAGCCCTTTAAGTGTAAAAAATGTGGAAAAGCTTTCAGCCAAAACATACACCTTACTCAACATCAGAGACTTCACACCGGGGAGAAAATTTATAAATGCAATGAATGTGGTAAAGCCTTCAGCAATAGCTCCACCCTTATTCTACATAATAGGATTCATACTGGAGAGAAACCATATGAATGTAATGAATGTGGAAAAACCTTCAGCCAGTATACAACTCTTATTCAACATCAGAGAATTCACACTGGAGAGAAACCCTATAAATGTAATGTGTGTGAAAAAACCTTTAGCCAGAGTACCAGCCTTATTCGTCATCAGAAAATTCATACTGGAGAGAAACTCTGTGTATGCCTTGAATGTGGACAAGCCTTCAGTCAGCAGGGAAGTCTTACTAAACATCAGCGAATTCATACTGGAGAGAGGCCCTATAAATGTAATGAATGTGGGAAAGCCTTCACCCAGAGTATGAACCTTACACGACATCAAAGAATTCACACTGGAGAAAAATTATATAAATGTAATGAATGTGGAAAAGCTTTCAGTAATGGCTCGTCTCTTACTCAGCATGAGAGGATTCATACTGGAGAAAAACCCTATAATTGTAGTGAATGTGGTAAGGCCTTCAGCAATAGCTCATCAGTTACTCAACATGAAAGAATTCATACTGGAGAGAAACCCTATAAGTGTAATGAGTGTGGGAAAGCCTTCACTCACAGTATGAATCTTACCCGCCATCAGAGAACTCATACTGGAGAGAAACCCTATCACTGTAATGAGTGTGGAAAATCTTTCAGCCAGAATATGAACCTTACACGACATCAAAGAATCCATACTGGCGAGAAACCCTACAAATGTAATCAATGTGACAGAGCCTTCAACCAAAGCACGTCTCTTGCTGAGCATCAGAAAACGCATAGGAAAGAAGCTGGGAAATATAATAAGTGTAACCGGGCTTTTAGCTGAAGTGGATACTATCAGGGAATATGACTTTTTGTTTGTTTGTTTGTTTATTTTTAAGTGGAAAAAAGCTCATTAATCATTGTGAATGTGGGAAAGCCTTACCAGAGAGCAGAGAGTTTTATCTAGTGAGAAGTGCTATAATGCTGTGAAAGTGAGAAAATCTTCAGTTATGATCTAGTCCTCAACTAATGTCAGAGCCTGAGAGAGAAAGTCCCTCTGGCCATGGCAAATTCTCCTTCTCACTTTTCCTTTACTGCTTTTAGTGAACCTGTGGTCTCACTGACAGAAATATTCTTTCCATCACCGTGGATTGCTGCCCGTCCACACATTGTCATTGTTGATCATTTTCATTTACGCCATCCCGTAGAGGCCCCGAGCCTACGCCGCCCAGAGAATTCACCTTCTGTGGAGGCCTTCCTCTGGTTTCTTCCATTTTGTAAGTCCCTATGGAGTGTCCATCTGTTGTCTTTCACTCTTACCGCATGAGCTGCCCTTCCTGTCCCTCCACCCCAATTTCTGGCCTTATGTTTCCTTAGTGATAACCCTCATATCATTGCTTGAGCATAGCTCATCACTGAAAATATCTTACAACTTATGCCATTTCCTTTGGGTCATCTGCAGCTTTGTTTCTTTGGAGATGATGGTATTCCAACATCCTTATCATCTACAATTTCTGCTCCAGCGATGTGTTCTGATGGAGTAATTCAATAGACTAACCACCCACCTGTATGTCATAGTGTGGGCAGCAGAAAATTTTCATCCATTTCCTTTTTCTAGTATCAATTGTTAATCCATGCTCTTTAATAATTATGGGTCTTCCTGAGAAGGCCCTGCGATTTCCAGATTTCCAGGGGGTGGCAGGTGGGGCAGAGTAGGATGTAATCAGATTAGACAGTGTCATCCGCAGAGGGGAGTGCCCAGAGACCAGTATCTTCGAGTCAAGTCAAACCAACAGACATTTATTAATTATTTCCAGTATGCCAGGCACTGTGTCCAAGTGCTGGGGAAATGGAAAAAGCAAGGAGCTCACATCCTGGTGGAAATCTTTCTTTATGGAAATCTTACATCTGCAGGAAATCCCTTCTCCGTTTATACCTAGTGCAAGTCATCCACCATGACGGTGGCAAACCCACAGACTTTGGCAAGTGTCCATCTCCTTGTTGATGCCTTATAACGTGAGTGATCGGAGGACTGTTAGAAAGTCATCTTTGTGATTGTGTTTGTCAGAGAATCTTACTTATATGATCACTACGTATGCATGAGAGCCTCCTTTTGGGAGAGGGGCGGGGAAGACCCTTGGAGACTGCATTTTGCTCTGCTTAAAGTGTTTGATTTTGTTTTTGTTTTTGTTTTTGTAATCAATGAGCATACACTGGGATCTTATATTCTCTGCAGCATTCAGTCAGTTAACTGTGTAACTAAGGGTATTTGTTGTCTGATGCAGAGAATTTTTTTTTTATGAAAGCCTGTTTGTTACATTTTAATTGCAAGTATCTGTAATATATGCATGTAAATCATTATAATTGTATAAGGATGAGAAAGTAGGCATGTGGGTTTGTAGCAATTGGTGTTGTCTCGAGCCTCTTCTGGGCATTTGGAGACTAGCGGTCTGGGCTAACTCCATGGCCGCCCCTGTGGTATGCCACGTGTCCTCGGTTCCCGTTTCCCCCCTACCTTCTAGCAGGTTCCTACAGTGGTGTTACATTTGGGGCAGAGAAAGGATTAACACATTTCGAAGTGTCCTCGGCCGCTCTAGCTAGAAAAGCCCACTCTTTCCTCCTTAAATAGAAACCCCTCAACCTAAAGGGGAGAGGCTCAGTGCTTTGTATCTTTGTCCTAAGTGACATCAGGGATTTGGCATTTGATAAAACCCACTGTGAAGACCGTAGTCAGGAAAATGAGAGTCCGTGGAGGCTACCCAGCTGAGACTGTCATTGCAATTCTTCAGTGCCTGTGTTTTCTTCCAATAAACTCTACTTTACCAGACAAACATGAATGACTTGGGTGATCGTTTCTTGCGTCTCTACTTTTGACACTGTGAGATAGGACAAATGATTCTTCAACTGGGTTAACTTAACCAGAAAGTCTATTAAGTCATCCATTAAAGGGGAGAGCATAACTCAGGGTGGCCAACGTCCCCCTTCCCCACCCCATGTCTATAAATTACATATTTTCTAGGCTTCAAAAAAAGGAACAAGGAAGCAGTAGCTGATTGACCAGCAAGAAGGCAGTTTCCAGATTAAGACATGCGGATTGCTTGAGATGTGTAACAGAAGAAAACTCCTTACACTCCTTGCATCCATCTTTGGATCTGACTGGGTTTCTGGTCAGTATAACCTAGATCCTGAGTTATTCATTAAAAGCTCCTGGTCTCTAATCGGCAGATCTGGTTTGTCAGCCATGCAGGGCTAGGTTCAGATAATGCCATCAAGTTTTCCCAGAACATAAAACTTACTAAGTTGGTGGGCTGGGACTGAATTCCTACCAAAATTGGAAATTGATAAATAAAAGGATATAGTGAAAGAAGAAACATGACAGGGGAAGGATGATTTCCTCATTTGGGACTGGAAAATGGGTAGATTCCTGAAATACTATTGCCAGGCAGCTAACCCAAGTTATCTCTAGTCATGCCTTGGTATTCAGCATATCCTCCTATGTGGAAATGGCAGCAGCTGCTTTGGGACAGTATGGGAAACTGGAGTAGGATGGCTTCTCCTTTTGGTTTTGGACAAAGTCCACCATGAGAGGAAAACCAGCGGTACCCAATATTAAGGACTGATGGAGTCACTGGGTCAGATAACAGTAGTGCACCAGGAGAGCTTATCTATCTATACCAGGGATTCTTAGCCCCATGGATAGATTTCGGGGGGGGTCTACGAATGTGGATGGGGAAAATTATTTTACATCTTTATTTTCACAATTTAACATTTTCTTCTATCATAAATATAGGCATTAAACATTCTGAAAAGGGGTGCGTAGGCTTCAGCAGACTGCCGACACAAAGTTTAAGTAGTGCTGTTGGACTATACTAAGGCTGTGGAGAAACAGCTGAGAAACAGTGGGGCTGCTTATGCAGTAACCTCCAGAGGCATCTCCTTGGTGGAGCTGGGGCTATGCTGGGGATGGAATGGCATCTAGCTTCCAGACCAGGGAAGCCCTTCATCTTGCCCTTGGGCCTGACTCCTCTACAATGTACTGTCTTTCTGGTGGGCCTCCTGGCTTGAACACTGGACCATGGACCTAGACCGACATAAATCTAGGTACCGAGATATAGAACCTGGAAGAAGACAGGTGAAATGAGGCTAGAGATAAGAATTACACACAATGCATGTGATAAGACTTCTGGATGCCAAGGAAGGCCAGGAGAATGTGTTCTCTGGGTGTAGGTTCAAGGGGATTCTGTGAATATACTTAATGGGGACATAAAAAAAGGCACTTATTCAGCCAGATAGGAGGAAGAGTACTTATCGGCTGCTCTGGGCTTGAATGCATATGCGGCCCGCTATGGCAGAGGGACAGGATCCTGCAAAGTTAGGAGGTGCAGTGATTCCTGAAAAGGGCATTTTCCTGGCTGTGGAGATGGGCAGAAGTCAATGGAGGCCGTTGGGTCCATGGAAGAACATTCCAAGCCAGGGCCTCCATTCAAATGAACGGAGGGAGAAAAAGGAAGAGGCATGAACAGGAAACATATTTAGACGTGCTTCCTGAATATATTGATAACCCTAAATGCCTTTAAGTAACACAGATTCCCAAAGCACTATAACAATCTAAATTCCGAGTTATCATAGAACTTCTGGCTATCACAAAATTCTCGGTCAAAAAAGTGTTGTACTGGGGGGGAGATTCAGTTTTATTCTTTTCTTTCTTTTGGTCCTTAAATATATTACTAGAAATTAAGAAAGTAATTACATTCTGGAATTTCACATAGATAGTGAATGTGGTAGTCCACAAACCTCCAAACGAATGGATATGAATGAATGATATATATAATGATATAATAACATATAATAATGAAGCAGGCTTGAAATCCACACCCCTATTTTGGGCAAGGTTTCCCATATACTCAGTAGGATTTCCACAACACAGAAAACTCTTTTCTTTATATATGTGTATATGTATGAATATATATATTTCATTTTCAACATTCAGTTTTATAAGATTTTGAATTCTAAATTTTTTCCCTTCCCTCTCCTCCCCCCTCCCCAAGACGGGACACAATCTGATATAGGCTATGTATGTACAATCACATTAAAGATATTTCCATATTAGTCATGTGAAAGAAGAATCAGAACAAAAGGGAAAAAAAAACACAAGAAAGAAAAAAACAAAGAAAATAGTGTGTTTAAATCTGCATTCAGACTCCGTAATTCTTTCTCTGGATGTGGAGAGCATTTTCCGTCATGAGACTTTTGGAATTATCTTAGATCATTGCATTGCTGAGAAGAGGTAGTCCATCAAAACTAGTCATCGCACAATGTTGCTGTTACTGTACACTATGTTCTCCTGGTTCTGCTCATTGCACTCGGCATCCGTTCATGTGAGTATTTCCAGGTTGTTCTGAAATCCACATGCTCATCATTTCTTATGGAACAATAGTATTCCATTACATTCATATACCACAACTTGTTCAGCCATTTCCCCAATTGATGGGCATCCCCTCAATTTCCAGTTCCTTGCCACCACAAAAAGAGCTTCTGTAAATATTTTTGCACATGTGGTTCCTTTTCCCTTTTTTATGATCTCTTTGGGATACAGACCTAGTAGTGATATTGCTAGATCTAAGGGTATGCACAGTTTGGTTGGCATAGTTTTTGGGCATAGTTCCAAATTATTCTCCAGAATAGTTGCATCAGTTCACAACTCCACCAATAATGCATTAGTGTCCCAATTTAACCACATCTTCTCCAACATTTATCATCTTCCTGTTTTGTCACGTTAGCCAATCTGCTAGGTAACACAGAAAACTCTTTCACAGAGTTGATAAGAATTCTAGGTGAAATTTCCCCTTCAATATAGACAAAACTTGGAAGTTTACCCTAACTGTTCATTCTCTCCTATATCTTTTTTGTTGAAACAATTTTTAACCTAACTAGATTATAACAGGAATTGCTTTTTCAACAACATAGCTGGTATAATTGTTTACCAAATTACAAAATTTAGAACTATAACAATACCCCGAACAATATTATGTATTTAAAACTTGGAACAAACCCATTACCAATTTTGGTGAACACATTTCCAAATTAGTTTGCACAGAAAATCATTCATCTAGTCATTAATATGTTGAAACTACAATTTTAAACCACTTTGTATATTTTCATAATAGTCAAGATTTCAAATGAAAATTTGCTATCATATTAACTACCATTATTTATTATTGTTACCTGATTATAACCACATATACTTCATTAATTATTTAACAGTGTCCAAATTATCTAATTTTTAAAACTTAGATCCTTTTAAAAGCCTAATTCATATGCAAAAAAACACCATTTCTGCCTCACAATGGTCTCTCAAATTTTACAATCTAAGAGATTTTAGAAATACAGTGCAATTTAGAAATACAGTAATAACACAAACAATAAACTTCAGATGACATTGGTTGCTTTTCCAGATTATCACATATAATTATTGATCTTATTACTTTTAATATTTTAAAACTACTTCAAAGTTAACAGATATGGAACAATTACATTAAATCAGGGAGATCATAATAATGTTGTGCCTAGCATATGCCAATCATTTTGTTAAACACTGTACAACCATTATATCATTTTGATCGCACAACAACTATTTTTGTTTTTTCCTTTGCAAATCAGGAAATGGGACACAGAGATAAAATAGCTTGCCGTAAGTTACATAGCTGGTACATTTTTGCAACTGGAACAGAGGAGGTTGGGCTTACCAAGGGCAGAGGTTGGCTGGCTTCTCCACTCATAGTGCCACACTAGGCCTTCCAGGGGCACCCAGATTCTTGCAGGCAGCAGCTGGGTGCTGGGGAAGGGGCTGGGGTGACTGGTGCCAGGGCCTTCCGAGTAGTGATAATTTTTGGTGGCAGGGCTCAGGGAATGCTGACTGGGGGGTGGGGTCTAACCCATCTCCCTTTCCCCCCTCCCTACTTCTGCAGACATTGCTGAGGCTGGGGCCCCTTTGCAGCTGCTGGGGCTGGGTGGGCAGGATGTACTGAACCTGGGTGATACTCTCAGGCTTTTCCTAGAGGGGTGAACTGCAGAGCGCCCAGGGGCACAGAACCATTGAGCTGACTGCCAGTGGGGCCCTCACTGTAGCTGCTGCCCCCATCCTACCACCAGGTGGGGAAGGGTGACTCAAATTCTGTACAATTCTCCAGCATTTTCCTCTCTTAATCTGATCTGGGATGAGAGGGGTCAACGGGGAGAACATGGGGCTGTTTACAGTCCCCGTCCTGAGAAGCACTCCTGACTCTGGGGGTCGGAGTTGGGCTTGTGAGCAGGTGCTTTAGCAGGGGGTGGATTACTGGAATTACCCCCAATCTCAGGAGTTTTGTCTTGCAATCTTAAAATGATCAATGTCTGAACTCCGTAAGGATTAATCTCACAATCTCCAGAATCTGCTAAGATGTTCTGAGGTGTATCTAACTTTTTTTTCTTTACTGTAGCCTCAACATGGTCAGAGTAGAAGCAACAAATAAGTCTTACAGGCTTTTCTCTAAATAATGATGATGATGATGATGATGATGACCTAACTTGTCCTGCTTTCAGCTGTGACCTTAAAATGACAAGAGAGTTCATTCATCTTTCTCAGTGCTTCTCTAACTACAGCCCTTAGTTTTTCTGGCTGGCTGCCTTTTAAATCTTCCAAGGTAACGGCATCGAGCTCACGGCTCAAACGTGACTCAGACATTTGACAACACAGAGACACAAACACAGACAATTAATAGGACAGATACAAAGAGAGGGTGCAATGAATGACAGGGAGAGGGCAAGTCCAAAAGCTCGGAGAGGCTTGTTGGAAATC